ATCCCAGTAGAACTTCTCAGTCTTCCTAAGAAGTGTGCGTAGAGGCTCTGCCTTTTCCGCATATCCCCGTATGAAGATCCGCCAATAACCAACAACGCTTAAAAACTGGCGAACTTCAGTTACACTTTGCAAAGGAGTCGGCCAATTCAACAACTTCTCCAGCTTACCAGGGTTCGGGCGTCGGCCTTTCGCGTCGCATATAAACCCTAGAATTTTAATCGTCGATACGGCTCATTGGCTCTTTGTCCCACTAACCGTCAGGTTGGCTTCATCTAGCTGCTCCAAGACAGCGGAAATATCCGTTAGGTGTTGCTCAACGAATCTCCTGACGCCAAGGGCGACTTCCGTCTCGTCTTTCACCACTGATCCTTTTGTCGGAAAATCGTCCTGAAAAACTTTTACTTTATCTGGGATAAAGTCTTTCAGAACCGCTACCATGGCTCTTTGAAAGACCGCTACCCCATTGGTCCATCCCATCGGAACGACCATCATCTGCACTAGACCAAGCGGCGTGTGCATAGCTGTGAGATGCCTATCTCTCGGATCTAGTGGTATCTCATCGTATCCTGAAAATAAATCGCAAACAGAATAAATGGATCTGTCTACTGCTCCTTCTGCTAATGGATCAGCGTGCAGCACGGAGCCTACGTCTCGAATTATCACAGCATTGACCTTCTGAAGGTCTTGAATCCACCGAATTTTTCCATTAGGCTTCCTTAAGAAGAACCATCTGTTCGCGTACGCGCTATCACATGGCTCAGCTACGTGTGATGTCATCTTCTCTTTGAGAAAGGAGATCACCTCTTCCTTCTCTTTCTTAGCAAACTTCCAGCCTGCGTCATTCCACGGAGTATGTGGAATCGTGTAGATCCTCGCCGGCTTAGCATACCTAGGATCAATCCTTCCTCTTTCCGCATCGCTGAAAGCTATAGCTTTGTCTTAGGACTTAAGGACTTCTAATACTCGCTCTTTCTCTGGCTCATTCAGATTTCCGTGTCCTATATCAATCTCTGCTATTCTCTTTTCCGTCAGCTGTTGCGGCTCCTTCCTCTTCCTTTCTTTAATCTCTCTAGCGATCTCTTCTTCAGATATCCCATCCAATGCGGATCGCTCTCGTGCTACGGCCGCAGGCTTAACCTTCTGAGCTACTATCTTGTGTCTCTTTGGTCGCCCCCTGTAGGGGGCTGTGCCCCTAAAAAAGACACAGATATCATGCCGCCAAACTATTCATCTGCCTCCTTTGGATACGAGTTGCCGTCCACTATCAGACGACTCCCTAAATCTTCCACTTCTACAATCCAGCCTTCTTCTTCTGTGAGCAGAGGTCCATAATTCTTCTCGCGAAATCGCACCGCGCGGCCGGAGATAGGTAATGACTTAATCTGATCACTGGGTCCTGCCCCTACAACGAGAGCTGTCCTGTTCCTCGGGTCTCGAGACTCCACGGTCTCAATCATTACCCGCGTCCCATCTAGCTTCTTAATGGACAATGTTTGGCTCCCGTCCGGTCGCTCTATAGTCACCACGTGCACGTGGCTCAACCATGTCCGTCCCAAGAGCAGGCCAGCGCTGCAGTTCTTGACTGCAAAGACTGGCAGGGTCACTCGTACTCCTTGGACCTCAATGGCTGCCTTGTGACAAATTCCTGTGATCTGTTGCTTTCTCCCATCAGCCGTCTCTATCTCGAATAAGTATGACCTATCGAGTCCAAGTCCAACTTGCTCTGCCAGGTCCTCGTCTTTAATGACAACTTCACTGCTGTTATCGATCACAGCATCTAGTACCGCTCCGTCGTTTAGGATCGCCTTCACGGTCCCGCTACCAAGTATGTAAAACTTGTCTGGAGGTACACCTTCCATCCCATCAAAAAAGACTGTCGTCATGCGATCTGCCCTGCCAGTCACCTCCGATACTGCTACAGTAGGAGCATCCGCCTTAGGGGTCACCTGAACCTCCTCTGATAGAGGTATGCGAGTCTTTCGCGTGATCATCTGTAACTCGTCGCGAGCCAGCTAGGATGCCGCCAGATTTTCCAGAATAGAGCACTGCATGGGCTGCCGAAGGGCCCGTCTCAGTGGCTCGACTGTGTCAATCTCGTCCAGCGAACTCTTCATCAAGAACTTCTTCACTCCCCGCTTTCGCGGTGAAAGAATAACCTCCTCTCCATCGATCCGCTGTCCGTCTTTCTCCGCCATCACGTAATCCGTGTCAGTCTTCTTCGACGTAGACCCTCTCGCCGACTTGGTAGCTGCCACCCTTATGGGTGTGGTTCACAAATGGTTAACGGGGACCTCCATTTTCAGCTCCTAACTAACGGGACCAAAACTGAAATTAGGGTTTGGGGATCAAATTTTAATTTTTTGTTTTTTGTTTTTTTTGCCTATTTTTGTTTTGGTTTAAGGTTGCTGTCTGCCAAATTTGGTATTATTTGGGTTATTAGAATTTGTGTTGTTGGGAGGCCTGAAAATCCTGAAATTTGGATGACATGTTTCATGCCAAAATTGCCTGAAAATGCACTTTTGGGTTGCTGTTTTATGTGTTTTTAAATTTATTTATTTATTAAATATGTTAGTAAGAAGTGCACTCTATACATTGGTGTGGAATTTGCTTGAAATGGCCTTATGGTTTTCTTATAAATTGACCTTAAAAATGGGGGGTCGGTTAACCTTCTCTCGTGTGGTTGTCACATCTCCTTCGAAAGTTATCTTGATGCTCTGGCTCATAACCGGCTCCTTTCCTTTACTCGGCTTTACTTTCCTTGCTTCAACATTCTCCTTCATCGAAGGGAACATCGATACGTCTCCCAGGTCATCAGCCCACTTGACGTACTTGCGGTCATCAAGCACGACAAGTCCCTCGTCTATTGTCCGTTTGAGATCCGGACAGTCGCTCTTGATATGATCATCCCCTCTACAGTAGATGCAAGAGTTCCTGGGAGTGGGTGGTCTGTCGTCTGCGCCCCTGGAGGTCGAATCTCTCGCTGCTCAGGGGTCAGGGGACTTTGTATGCAGATCGGATGACGCGCCATATCCCCTTCTCTCGTTCCGGCCGCGCGAATCATTGCGGCGGTCTCCTCTAGATCCTCCTTGCTTATATCGTCCCCGTGAGTCATTCCGGTGGTCTCCATGGTCTTATCGTCCGCGCGACTCATCGCGGCGATCTCCTCGGTCATACCACCCCCGCAAATCGTCACGCTGCGTCCTAGTGAATCGCCCGCGGTCATACCGTCTGCGCGAGTCATCTCGTCGGTCTCCGTCTCGATCTGCTCTCTCATACCTGCCACCTCTGTATCCATCTCGATCCGACCTCTCATATTTGTCGTCCCTATATCTATCTCGGTCCGATCTCTCATATCTCTCGTCCTTGTATCCGTCTCGCCGGCCCTGATCCGACTCCTACTGGCCTCGAGAGTCGCCTCTACCCCCGTCATCCTCATAGCGAGGGCTACGAGAGTAATCATCTAGTCTCCTAGCTCGCCCATACGTCTCGCGAGCCTTGCGGTCCCGGTCTATATCATCATGCCTATACCGCCATGACTCATCGTTTCTCTCCCTCTCCCTCGCACGATAATCAGTCTGCGTTCGAGGATTTCTATCCTCGACACTCCTCCAGGAATCGGTGTTTCCCCGGTCCCAGCCGTGGCTCCTGTGGTGGTCACAATCTCTGTAACCTGTCTTGTCAATCTCTTTACCATGTCCCTTATCTCCTTCACTTCCTCAGCCACGGCTTCATTCCTTTCCGACCAGGGATAGTCCTTGAAATCAGGACATCTATCAGTGGCATACTCCTTATAGAGAGAGAAATCACGCCTCCTCATTCCTCTCCATACCAAGTCCTTGTAGTCGTCTGCCTCTGCCTTTATCGCGAGCTTTAGGACTCCAGGGAAGTCAAGCTTGTCGCGCGGAAGATCTCTAAGTATACTCTTATGTCAACCTTTGGACAGGTGTCCAATAAAGATCGTACAGCGCTCGACTTCCGAGATCTTCCCCTTCTTCATCAGTATGTCAGAGATCTTCTGAAAACGCTTCCCGAACGCCCGAACGCTCTCGTCCTCAGCCTGAGTCAAAGTCTCAAGGTCCTTGATGGAGTACTTGTTATCTTCTAATTTGTAAAGCTCAATGAGGTTCTTCTTATACGTAGTCCATTTTCCATCCTTCGGTCAGGCTTCTTTAACTTCCTTGTCGAGATTTGGATCTACATTGAATAGGAAGTTTTCTATAATCTCTTCCTCCGACTACTGACTTCGGCTAGCATGAAGCTCCCACTTTTTCAGATATTTTGTGATTCCATAGCCTCTGAAAGTAGGAGGCTCAGAGGCTTTGTGCGTAATAATATAGCGATCCTTGCTCTCGTAAGGGAGCGGATGTGACTTCCCCGTCTGGGGGTCGAAGACACGTCGGAGAGGTGCTCTATCCCTGTCTCTGTCCCTCCAATAGGAATCTCGCGGACTCTCTCTCCAATCGTCCCTGTGCCTATCCGCCCGGGTTTCCCTCCGTTCATACCCAGGGGAGCGTCGTGTCGTCGCTTCTCGTCGAGCGCTGGAGGACCCAGTCTTCAGAGCCTCCTGCGGCTATGTCACGTCGGGCTCTCAGTCATTGGTTTGGTCAGCCCTTCTTAGCGGTGCTCCCTGCCTAATTCGTTTTTTCAGATCCCTCAGTACTCAGTCGGGCGATGTCATGTACTCCTCACCCGCTTCGGCCATGGTCGGTTGTGACCCCATCGTGTCTGGTTCCATAGGCTACCAGAAGCTGTAGTTGGGTACAACCCGGACCTATGACAGTTGCAGCAGCCCGGACCTGTGACAGAACTCGCAGCCCGGACCTATGAAAGAATCTGCAGCCCGGACATATGAAAGAATCCGCAGCCCGGACCTATGAAAGAATCCGCAGCTCAGACCTATGAAAGAATCCGCAGCCCGGACCTATGAAAGAATCCGCGGCCCTGACCTATGAAAGAATCAATCACTCGTCTGCGACCGCTCTCAGGATTGCAACAAGTCTCCCAGCCTTGTCTCGTATCTCGTGCTCACCCTCGATACCAAAAATCCCCGAGTCAAAATAAAGTTCTCCCTCCTGTTCTTCTATGTAGCGAACACCTCTCCTAATCTCTATGACTCCGGACTCTGATATCCTCACTCTCCTACAAATTCCTGTCGCGATCCTCATCAGCTCTTTAAGCGTACAAGAACGCAAACTCTCTCGTAGGTCGACGGATGTCCTCCGCGCTAGACCACTCAACCCTTCATGTACGACGTGAGCTCCTGTGAGCGGGTAATCACCCCCTACGACCATCAAACTTAAAGTATTGAAGTGCTAGACCAATCATTGCCTCATTGTTTCTCCCTCGAACCACCTGACGCGGTACAGGAGGTCTGGGCAACCCCTGAAAGAGCGTAATCCGTGTGTTCCAGATTACCTCTTTACCTAGCGCTAGGAGCCTATCCCGCTCATTCTCAACGACTTCTTCCGCTCGCTCCCAGCATCGACCGTAAATCAAATCTCCTTCTTGTTCAACCGGGAGGTAAATCCTAACATCATACACCTACACGGCAAAGAACCGAACAGTGATAATGTAAAGACATATCTGCTCCCATCCGCTGTCCACTAACTCGTATGTCACCACTTCATACGGAACCACTTCTCTCCTACCCAAGGAACTTAACCTCTCGCAAATTTCCGCCAACACCTCGTTCGAAGGTCTGTTTCCAGCGAGAAACCTCTCTCTTCGCGACTGCAATTCCCTCTCAGAAATAGTCGTATCTTTACTCATTTCCTCATGCTATCCATCCCTAGTGGTCTTTTGAAACCCGCCCTCCATCCTGACTGTCCGAGCGAATCCAACCACAGCCTCCCATTTGTTTTGCTACAGCCCTTGACGTGGAACAAGCGGCCTAGGCAGACTGTCAAAAACAGTGATGTCGTCGCAGACCTCCACAACCTTTCCCAAACTTTTTAACCTCTTTTCCTCTTCTCCTAATGCCCAAGCAGCTCTCCTCCAAGTCCTCCCGTATATGCAAAATTCTTCTCTCTCTTTAGGCAGATATATACCAACGTGGTACACCTCTAAGTCATGAAACCGCACGGTCATAATATAATATTGATTGTGTTCGATTCCACTGTTCTGTACCTAATACTTAATCACTTTGTAAGGGAAGATCTCTCGTCCGCCTAAAGCGCTTAATTCAGCAAGTACTTTCTCGTGTTCAGGTTCGTAAGGAACTCCCCAAACTCCAAATCTCCTTCTCCTTCTCGCTAGCTCTGCCTCTAGTAATGGTATCTCTCGCCCATGAGGTGTTCAACAGTCTGCTTCGATTAGAGCTAAGGCTAACAGAATCCGGTCCGTGGATTCTCCCAAGTACTGAAAAAATGTTTCAAAATCTTATATGTCCCCAAAGTCTTCAAATCTCGGCTAAGGTCCAAAGAAACTCACTCCGGTACTGGTCGTGTGCTTTGAGGATTCTTAGAACCGAACTTTCTACTACGACCTTTGCAAAGTCCCCTGACACTTCCTCTTCACTCCTTAGAAGTTTCTCGGCTCTCCCTTGAGACTCGCGCCACTCTCTACTCAGGGTCACTCCATCGTAGGGGGATAAATGCAACGAATAATAGATCAGTCGTGCACTCCCCTCTCCTACCCAGAGTCCGGTCACTCGCGCCTTCTGAACTGCTTTTCTAGTGCTCTCTACTTCTTCGATCACGGTAAGCCTCTCTAGTTGCTCCAACTGTATTCTAACACAAGCAGTTGACCCTTCCAACTTCCCTATAACTCACATAGAACATCTATCACTACTCATCCTCTCTTCTCATTCTTCATCACCCTCGGCAACATCTTGCTTCTCTCCTGACGTTGCAGTCTCTATCAATTCCTTTTTCCTTCCCGTAGACTCAAGTGACCCTTCGTCCCCTAGACTCCTTCTCTTGACACTCTCTAGAAATTTTAGCCTCCACCCACTAAAGAAATCTCTGTCCTTTATAAAAAGCCTTCTCAAGGCCTTTGTTGCACCTTCTATCCCGCACAGCTCACTTCTATCCTTGTTAGGCCCGCAGTCCTGGATCTTGAGGGAGAGTTCCTTAACCCGCTCTGCCACTGGTTTAATAATACGCTCTTCTACTCTCTTTTTTCTTCCTTCAAGATCTTCCATCCTCTGCGATCCATCACTCTCCGTACCCAGAACTTCTATCACATACTGTTGCGAGCCTCCGCGGGTGTCTCGTCCCGAATTATCTCCAAGCGCACTCTATCTTTAACGCACACGATCACCTCATAAACCACCCAGCTCTGTACTATCAACTCCCTCTGCGCTCCTAGTCTCTGCTCCCGTATGACATCTTCCGCGAGTTCTTTGAACTCGCTATCCGACAGTTCTTCTTCTATGCTCACTCTCAAGAGGATCTGTAGGGTCTCCTGGTCACACGTTAATTGCCTAGAGACAACCCGAGCGTAGGGAAGGCGTCGCCGAGGAGAGGGACTCCTCGTCTCAATTCCTCGAGTAGCTACTCGAGGGTTCCCCTTACTCACGCTTCTCCAGGACTCTGCCCCTCTGTGGTCCCACCGAAGTAAATACGAGGCTCGAGGTTTATATCGATACAGTTGCCGCTCGTGCTCGTCATGACAGGGCATTCATACTCTACTCCTGGCTTCCGCTACAGTCTCATCAAAGAACAATTCCGCTCGCAAGTACCCAGCCGCCCATACCATTACCTCGTACGTTATCTTGGTCTGGAAGGTTACGCATTCGAGAACGCCCAGTCTGTATTACCGAATAAATTATTTGGCCTGTAGGAAACTCTCTTGCTCTGTTAGGTTATCGTCTATGTGAGCCCTGAGTAGAACAATAATCGTGAAACCCTCGTTCACTAATTGCCTCGTCACATTTACCCCCGTAATCGTACGACCTGGCATCTCCTCCACTAACTATGCACAAACAAGTATCTCAGGTCCTCCAGCCCGATGAACTTGTCTTCTGCGCGTCTTTGACAATAGTGAATCAAATCTGCAGGTCTCAAATAGTCCAGCCAGCAAGTGACATCTAACAAGTCTCTCTGGATCTCCTTACCTGGAGGTTCCCACCTTACGCAGACTAAGTAATATGCTTCTAGGAATCGACGTTCCAGCCCCCGCCAGCGCGCGCGGTGAGTGTGGTCGACTGCTTTCGTTAAGCAGTCCACGCCTCCGTAAGTTTGTTCTATAACAAACTCGGGCAATACCATCCGCCAGCTTCCTATCGGATGGTAAATTTGTGGAGGACAACCGACCACGATGCGCGTGGTAAAATGTCTACCATCAGCAGTGTTAGCCAGTTGTCTTTTCACTATCGTCTCTGCTAAGATCTCGTATCTCCACCAGATCCTGCTAACGCCTACAAGTGTCAGCCCTATCTCTGTATCTCTCTCCTTATCAAACACAAGATGTCATATACCCTTCACCTGCCGAGGAAACCCCTGGTCCTCCGTAATCACTGT